CATAATCAGCCCACCTTGGCCTTCCGGCGCTACTGCCATTGTTAGATTTCCGTTCAACCCCAACCTTTCTCATGTCTTGGGTATATATGCCACCCACGTTTCCATGTTTTCCCACCTTCTCAAGTCTGTCACACACGTTCCCCATCATGAAATTCATGTTTTTCATCATTTTCATCATGGCTTGCATTTGGAACGTAAGTTCTCCCTCGGGATGGGGTGGTGTGTTGTTTTGATCTGACATGATAGTACCTTTTTGCGAAACTGAAACCAACACCAAATTGAACCAACTTGGCAGCGCAATCCAAATAGATATATGACTCAAGAAGCAATAACAACTAGAAAACAAGCAAAACGAAACTGCAATGATAGTCCTGCGAGTAGCAAACGAGTCTATCCGAAATATCAACGAAACTGAAGACTCGAATAAAAAACAAAAACAAAAAATAAACAACACTCAAATATGATGGATATGATGAAAATAAACTGCAAGAAACGAAATCAACAGAAAGCAAGCGAATTTCAAATGTTGATGCAAGACAGACTTGTTTACGACAAGTCTGAATCTGGACTGGAACCTGAAGTAAATGATGTCCAATTGAGGTAAAATTTCAGATGTTGTGCGATATAAGTAAATGATGTCCAATTGAGGTAAAATTTCAGATGTTGTGCGATATCAAGCCAAATAGACATAATATAACGTTTGAGCAATTTATGACAAAGTTTGATATACTGACGTAAAAATGTTATGAATCAGACCTGAATAGACCCGAATTTGAAACCCAAAGAAAATGATATCCAATTGACCCCAAATTTGATATGTAATGCGATTAGGACCCCAGTAATTAGAATATCAAATTTGAGCTAATTCCGAGTTGATTTGATCCAATCGTCCCTTGTTTAGTTTTCTGCGGCAGAATCTAATAAACGTATTTTTGAACAATTTTTCTTTTCTTTTCTCTTCTCTTTTCTCTTTTTTTTTTAAACGTCTTTTTGAACAATTTTTCTTTTCTTTTCTCTTTTCTCTTTTTTTTTTTATGCTACTGATATATTTTGAACAATAACAGAATGAAATAACAATTTTGTTTTCTTTTTATATGCCGCAAATTCAAGGAGAAGAAGAAATTGGATACTAAGGAATTTTTGCGAAATTAACAAGAAACAAAAATTTCAGGAGGATATAACCTGATTAATGGAGCCAAGCTCTGATACCAAATGATGCGAACCTCGTGATCACATGGTCACGCAACCCACATGCAAAGACGCCAATTCCTGGAAAGCCAAGTAAATCAGGTTTGATAGGAGTGTGACACAAAGATAACTTGTACCTAGGCACCAGCACTATTGGAAACGGAAAACCCCCACCCAACGAATATTGATTCGCAAACGAGAAGTATAAGGATGACGCCACGAAGATAGTTGTTCTTCGATAAGTCGTTTTTCAGTTCATTAGAGAACCATGGAAGGGAGATTATCTCACCAACACACACACACAAAGTGCGGCAAACAAGAAGTTTTATTAATCTGAATAGTCTTGCCCTACATGTTTGGTTATGCCTCTATTTATAGTGATTCTAGACTTAAAGAAACCCTAATGGACCCCCCTTAGGTGGACTTATATGTAGCCCACTTACAATTGACCCAAATAACTAATAATAACCTAAAGACTAAGAAGAAAATAATAAAAATATAAAAATCCGAAAATTACTATCCTAAATATGCTAGAATCAGATTTGTCACCATTAAGAAGTCTCAAATAGACTAGGAAATCTGATCTGAAGGTAGCATGTATTCTTTAGTCTTCTTTCCTTTTGTAGCTCGGATGAATAAGGAATCCTTGTAAGAAAAGGATTCTGAAATAATTATGAATCCTTGCCACACTTGGAAACTATGTTGCAGCCCATTAAACATCCTTGTAGAATTAGTATATTTCCAAAAGAAGCTGCCACATCCCTTTAGAAAAAGAATCCTAGCCAAATAGGAAGTCCACAAGTCAAAAGCAAGTAAATAACAAAATTCATACAGCCTCTGTTGACCCGTATTGAGATATCTTCCCGAACTCCGATTGACTTGAAATTTTAACCCAAGGTAATACAATATGTCAGGAGACTCTACGTAACATTTCAGCTCCATCCAACGGTCGGATTGAAAATTATGACTGTTGCCGTAAAACTGGATAGTTGCACGTTTTACATCAAAATCCAAATTTGACCTTGCTTGGATCGTATCATTAATGATGCGAACCTCGTGATCACATGGTCACGCAACCCACATGCAAAGACGCCAATTCCCGGAAAGCCAAGTAAATCAGGTTTGATAGGAGTGTGACACAAAGATAACTGTACCTAGGCACCAGCACTATTGAAAATGAAAACACCCACCCAACGAATATTGATTCGTGAACAAGAAGTATAAGGATGACGCCACGATGACAGTTGTTCTTCGATAAGTCATTTTCAGTTCTTTAGAGAACCAAGGAAGGGAGATTATCCCACCAACACACACACACACACACACACAAAGTGCGGCAAACAAGAAGTTTTATTTATCTGAATAGTCTTTTCTTACATGTTTGGTTATGCCTCTATTTATAGTGATTCTAGACTTAAAGAAACCCTAATGGACCCCCCCTTAGGTGGACTTATATGTAGCCCACTTACAATTGACCCTAGTAATAGTAACCTAAAGACTAAGAAGAAAATAATAAAAATATAAAAATCCAAAAATTACTATCCTAAATATGCTAGAATCAGATTTGTCACCATTAAGAAGTCTCAAATAGACTAGGAAATCTGATTTGAAGGTAGAATGTATTCTTTAGTCTTCTTTCCTTTTGTAGCTCGGATGAAGGAATCCTTGTAAGAAAAGAATTCTGAAATAATTATGAATCCTTGCCACACTTGGAAACTATGTTGCAGCCCATTAAACATCCTTGTAGAATTAGTATATTTCCAAAATAAGCTGCCACATCACTTTAGAAAAAGAATCCTAGCCAAATAGGAAGTCCACAAGTCAAAAGCAAGTAAATAACAAAATTCATACAGCCTCTATTGACCCGTATTGAGATACCTTCCCGAACTCCGATTGACTTGGAAATTTTAACCCAAAGGTAATACAATATGTCAGGAGACTCCACGTAACATTTCAACTCGATCCAACAGTCGAATTGAAAATTATGACTGTTGCCGTAAAACTGGATAGTTGCACATTTTACATCAAAATCCAAATTTGACCTTGCTTGGATCATATCATGGTATAAAAATAAGCTATGAAAGGAACTTGATTTGTTGTTAACATAAGTTATAATCATGAATGCTTGACGAGATTTACAAGTACTAGCATTAATCGAATAAGATGACTAATGTAATCATGTTAACAATATATAATCTGATTGGAACCTCCTTTGTGTGTGGTTTCCAATTGAATAATAAGAGTTTATACTATACTTGTTTGACATACCATTAGTGGATCCTCTAACCTTGACATTTGTTATTATCATTATTTAATCGTTACATTAATATTCCATCTCAAAGTTCTCATCATCATCTTCTTCTTCTCCTTCTTTTTCTTTACTATTATTATTATTATGACTACTACTACTACTACTACTACTATTAATACTATTATTAATATTATT